CAGTAATCATAAACCAGAGAAGAAAGTTTAGCAGATAAGTATAAGTGAATGGCAAGGTTATAAATATTAAATAATTAGAAGCCAATATAATTGAAAATTAATTGAACTAACTAAACTAATTAAACTTAATTTGAAAGCATAAAATGAACATATAATAATAAATTGCAAGGAAGATTCATTGCAGAAGTGATTATATGTTCACTCTTGTGACAGATAACTCAATTTTTTTTTTCATAACTCTATGTCAAAATTAATCACAAAGGCATTACCAGTATTTGGTTGCATGACTATAAATAAATACTAATTAATAAATACTAAAAAATGGAAATAGCTAATCATATTTCTTGAACTCTTTTATTTACTTAATATTATTATTAATATAATTAATTTTTCTTCAGCCGTAAGTCTAGAATTTTCCAAAAAGTTGAAGTAGGAGAAATGTGCAGAGCGAATACAGCTCAAAACAGTCAGTCAGGAAGTCTTGGCTTCTTCATATTAAAAAAAAACTATCGCAGAGCGATATAAAAAGAAGATCCTGCTCGTCAAGATGGCCTCTGCGCTTTTGTTAAAGGGAAGGATGGGACTTAAATTTCCTCTCGGTAGAAATTACTGAGGGTAAACACACACACGGGGGGGGGGGGGAATCACAGAAATGAGGACTAATAAAGATATTTGGATAAACCTTTCTGAATTATAAGCTAAAAGACATACATGGCCTACCTTTATGTAGTTGTCATACTTGCTTAATATTGAAGGAGGAAACGTAATCCATGAAATTGAGGTTATTCTGAAAGAATTATTGTATGTTTTTAAATTCAAATATCTTCTTAGATATGCATAATATAATCACTGATGTATGGCTACAAGAAACCTTGGAATCTTGGCAAGAATTCACACACAATTATTTTCATGGATTGCTAAATATTCTATTCAAATCACTTGCTAAGAGATGAACATAATTCAATACTTCACTGTTTATGTTCATGTAAGCAATGGAATAGAAGTCTCATAACGTAAGTTAGAAATTAATTAATGAACCCAATTAACTTTACTGGAAAAAGTCACATGGGTTAGATCAGGAGAGCAAGTCAGTCATTCAAGTGGAAAAAGTGAACTTTATCTTCTGTAAAGTGATGGTACAGTAGCCACTGTACTGATAAACCAATTTCTAGTGGTCCTGCTGCCTGCGTAAAAGTTAACTGATACAGCAACTGCCTCTGCTGAAGTTGCAGAATAAAAAAAAACTAGTCATATCATGATACATTTGCATGGTAAAGGTACAGGTATGTCGTCCTGTTGAAATTCTCAAAAAAGTATGGTCTACTCATGAAATCTACTGTGAAGTCACACCAAACATTGACTTTTGGTGAAAGCAGTGGGATTTTCTGAACAGTAATGTAAATGTTTGGATGCTCAAAATCGAGAATTGTGAGTGTTAACAGTCTTATTTAGATAAAAAAAAGGACCGAATTTCCCATAGAATTCATCCCAGCCAAGCATTGTTGACCTCCATCCCATCATGAAATGTCAAAGAAATGCTGGCCATTTATTATAATTGCTGTGTTTTAATTCCTTCACAAGCGTTATCTTGTAAATGTAAAAGTAATGAACTTTCTAAAAGATTTGCCATACTGTGGAAAAATCCAAATCCAATTATTGCATTATTTCCTGGGCCTACTACGAGTCATGTTCCCAAGGATGCCATCAACAACTGCATTCCCAACATCAGGAACTGTCTGTTCTGACACTATTTTCCGTCTTCTACCAAACCGAATTGAGGATTCTGTTTCTTCGCAATTCTGAATCATGCCATTCAATCCATTAATTGATACAGCACATTTACATAGGTTGTTATAACTTCTAAACTTATGAAGAGAGGAGGTTGCATTCTATTGATAGAGATCAAACTACTTCACAAGTAATATGCGCTGAGGTAAAATTAAACAGATACTAAAGCCAGCTAATATTCGAAATGTCTTTCAGTTTTTTCCCCTTATATTTGTAGACTAAATTACTGACACTGCTGTTGTTTAGGTAACTGAAAATTTACATTTTCAAATTTTACTTGTATTTAATCCAAATTTTCAGTTGTTTAAACTAGAACGTCACTATATTTTCCCCTATCAGTAACTTTCAGAAGTAATTTTTTTCCCCCATTTTGTCATTAGCCTGCTTTCACATTTGGTGGCATTCTAACTGATAAATTTGAGCTACAGACAGCTCTGAGTAGTGTCGGTTAAAAAAAAAAAAAACACCCACCCTTTACATTTATTGTGTGTTATTATTACTATTAAAAATCGTGATGTTAAACTCTAATACTATTGAAATTTCCATATACTGTACAAAGTCTTTAATCCGGACTCGTCGGGACTTCGGCGATTCTGGATTAGGGGTTTTCCGGTTTATAGATCATCAATTTAAATCTGGTAAGATGGCATGCAGAAATTATAAAATTAAAAATATGAAATCATAATTTATGAATTAAAGAGCAATTATGATCTAAAGAGTACCAAAATTAAAAAAAAAAAAAAAAAAAAAGCTTAGTATTTATTTGTTTACTTTATTAAACATTTCTTTCAATGTAAGTTGTTTAAGTTTGCTTCGTTTTATGTGCTAATACTTTCTCTTTAATTCTATAAATAGACATAATTTCTTGTTCAGTTACATAGTTCCACTGTTCAAGTCCTGTAATTACTGCGTCGAGAATATCGATTAACTTGTCTATCTAAATGTTTTCATTTTCACTAACCTCACTGTCACTTTTTTCATGCCTTTATCCATTTTTTGCAGTAATTCTACTTTTTCTTTAATGGGCATCGCTTTGTGGATCCTTTGGCAACTCCAGAATCTGAAACTCTTTTTGACATAATTGAAAGTTCAAGTTTACTTTTTATAAAATTGCTCTAACAGTCTGCAAAAAATAATAAGCCAGATCCAATTAGAAGATCCAATTACAACGCAATCTGCAACATTAACTGAAATAGATAGTTTTAGCGTAGCTTATACCGTCCGTTATACATTAAACATGCATGTGTAAACGTATTATGCGCATGCGTAAAGGTATTATGTACCTGCGTAAACACATATGCGCATTCGTAAACTCTACGCATGCATAGAAAGTTTGTAGCTTTCAGGTCCGGATTATAGATCATTCTTGACTATGGACGTCCGGATTAAAGACTTTGTACTGTGGTATCAAATAATCTGGACAAGTCAAATAATCTGGACTGTTATTGTGTCTGCTTTTTTCATTGTTCAGATCTGTAACTTTACTATTATTTTACATTAACCAGTTATTTATAATTTCAGCTTTTATTATAACTTCTTTCCATTTTCCTCACCAAAAATGTAAATGACTTAAATACCAAGCTGAAGTTTTAGGATTGTAAGACAAAACATATTTCTGCCTCTTGAGATCATGTTATTTAGTTTTGACAGCTCTGATAAAATTGTAATTATTCGGCTTTGCATTATAACTGCTGTCATTTAAATTGTTGTGCCAGTGAAAAGTTCTGAACCAATTCTGAACCAATTTTCTTTGTAGACCAAAAATGTAAATGACTTAAATACTAAGCTGAAGTTTTAGGATTGTAAGACAAAACATATTTCTGCCTCTTGAGATCATGTTATTTAGTTTTGACAGCTCTGATAAAATTGTAATTATTCGGCTTTGCATTATAGCTGCTGTCATTTAAATTGTTATGCCAGTGAGAAGTTCTGAACCAATTTTGATTTAAATTAAACAGTGTAGTCTTTGACTACAAGGTTGAGTTTTAAATTTTGAATTTGACTATTACTTTAGCATCGCCATAAGTGGTGGCTGATCCTTTGGGTACAAGAAGTGTGTTTATATTCTAAGTTCTGTTAAATTAAAAAGGTTTGTTTTAAACCTTTTCAAAGCTTTTGTAGCTCACTTCAGACACAGCAATAATTCACTTAACATCTTTTAGGAGATTGATATTAGTTTATGCTCTGAAAGAAAGTCAAACTTTATAAATCTGTTTAGTTAGATAAGAAAAACAAATGCTAAAAAAAGTTTCAAAACAATGATTTATGATTTTAAAACATTGCTCTTGTAACTAAGCAGCATTTCCAGCCGTTATCTTTTCTGATGTCTCAGGAATGCAAATGTTATAATTAATAAGAATGTTAAAAATGCAATTACTGTTGCTGATTAAAAGTATACGTAGTGTTAAAAAAATAAGAAAGGTATGAAATGTATTGAAATGTTAGATAATAACTGGTAATTGAAATGTTTAGATGGTAACTGGTAAAAATAAGTTTGAATGCTTTTTTTTTTTTTTTTTTTTTTTTTAATATAGGCATTCTAGAGTTTACAAGTAAGCATGTTATTTTAATGGAAATATAAAAGAATTTTTTAAAAATAAATTCTTGTATTGGTTATTAGAAAGAAGAAAATAAATTCACATATTAAAAGTGAAGCATTTTTTTAAAATCAAAGGTGAAAGGCTAAATAACACTGTCAGTGTTTCCCCCCCCCTAGTTTCTAATTTTTAAAGTATTTAATTTTTAGTACTTGATAGGGAAAATTTAATAGTCTTATCTAGCTGACTAGATAAATTATTTATCACTGAGAGTTTCATATTTGATTGTAATATTTGAGACTGTTTATTTTCCAAAAACCGTCTTATTTTTGTATTCCAACACAAAGCTTTTGAACTGCTTTGAACCATTAAAATTTTATATATGTCAAAATTACAGAAGTTGTTATGAGTTTACCAATTAGTACTGTGAGTATTTGGGTATAAAACATGAAGCACAGTTATTTCACAAGGAAACAGCTGAAGAATGTTAGCTACCACAAATATACTTCAAGCTATATATATATATTGAAAATTCAAAGGAAATAATAGATGACATTTTAATAAAAGGGAATTAATTTCAATGAATGATTCTTTTAATATATTTTATACAAGATTGAATTTCATTTTTTTTAATGTTCTTACAAAAGATACATTTAATTTTTATTTTCTTTGTAGATTTCTGGTGGTCCTGTATCACACGATGATGTAATTTTTGGCAGATACACTTATGATGTATCTGAAAACGAAGGAGACTTTGTAAGTATATGATTGAAGTATTTTTTACTAAATATACATACCTTTTATTAGCATTTATTGCAAAATTTTATTTTTTTATGATCTTATTTTTTTTTTTAGCCCAAAAGGGGTTATTAATCTCTAAGTGGGATTTTGCACTGGTTCACCATCAGTATATAGCTTTTCAAATAGTTCCCACAAAATATTATTCCCTGTAATATTATAAAAGAAATTTAATAATGAAGAATCTGCATGTATGTATGTAGCTTGCATTATGAAAAAAAAAATGCAATGCATAGAGTCATTAAATTCTGAATAACGTAGTCCTCCACCTGAAAAAAATGCACCTGGAAGCCAGTATTTTGAATTTGTTTTATTGTTCTATTTCATATTTTATAAAACTTAAAAAAGAATTTTTGATTAATACACACAATGATTTGAAAGCAAGCGGTGGTGACACTATTTGAAATAAAAAAAAAAATTATCTTCAGTACACGAGACTGTTGCTATTCTGAGAAATGTAAGATATTTATGTTTCAGTTTTAATTAATAAACTCTGCTGTATGAAAGCAATTTCTTGCTGTGGCCAGGAAAAAAAAAAAAAAACTTTTGTGTACCACACACCAGCATGTTGCATTCAGTAAAGCCCAAGATACTTTCAGATTTAATCTGGGATGCTATTGAGTTATAAACTAAGCAATTTAAAAGCAATAAACCCAGTTAAGAATATTTTTTTTGACTTTTAATGTGATTGATTTAAATAAACTTTTATTAAAATCATGAGAATCAAATTAGAAATATTTGATATTTTTATGAAATTATACTAATGTGACTAATTAAAAACATATATTTTTTCTTTTTTTATGATAATGTTTTTTTAAGCCCTGCAAGTGGCTCGTTTTTAAAGAAATAACATATATAAAAATATCTATGATAACCTCTAACATTCTATTGAGAATTCTAAAGATATGCTATTTTTAAATATTTTGTGGTTTTGCTGTTCAATTGAATTTTATGTGTTTTTGTTTATGGTTATTTATATGGAAATATATGTTACATTTATGTTTATTTAAATAGATAAACTTAAATAATTTTAGCTGATAATTTCCAACAGTCTTTTTAAACAGCTTATGACTATTTCTTTATTGCCCTAATTTTTTTACATATCAGGATGTTTTAATGTACATGAATGATATAATCCACAATGAAAGTGATAAAAATTGCATTCAGGACCAGTGTCAAGCTGCATTAGGTGGTAGAATTTAATTGCTTGACTAAATGTTCCAAGTTGACTTGGTTGTTGAAAATTTGTCAAAAATAAATATGTGTGTTAATTTGTGATTCATGGTTCATGACAGACTTTTGTTTTTATTAATTCTGAATAAACTCTGTGTTTTGTGGCTGTGCTGTTGACTTTTATGATATTTTGTTAGGAGAATACGCAAGTTTTATGCCACGCCTTTCAATGGAGGTGTTAGGCTATTGTTATCCTTATCAAGTGCATTAGATTAGTAATTTAGCTTGTTTTACAACTTAGACGGAAATACGTGAATTGGAGCTTATAAATTCATTCTTTTAGGTTCTAAAATTCTTGTAGAAATGCATTAGTTTTGCTCAAATTATAACATGTCTTTATCTGTACTGTCATGCTTCAAGGTCTTCTACACTGTTTCAAATGTGAACTGAAGTTTTTGTGTATTTTTCATATTTTATTTCTTTTTAAAAATTTCTTTCACATTTTCTTGACACAGATAAATATTCAATGTATGTTATTAAAATTCAAAATTATTTCAAAATTATTATTATTATTATTATTGTGTTCATTCTTAACAAAAACACACTGACTTGTTAACTCAGGATAATTATTTATCATTTATTTTGCATCTTAAAAATACAAAAATTTGAAAAAAATATTTTTTGAATCTTTTATATGTTATTGCACTAATTAAAAATGCATAGTAAAAGTTTGGATAATTTTACACGAAAACTGAAAATTAAAGAGTTAGTTAAGGGGTTAAGAGTAGCAAAAATTCAATGGGCAGCAGGCAGTAGGATTCAGAATAGTGAAGAATCTGCATCAGGCAGTAGAAAACATAGCTCCAGCCCTGATTATATTCATTGTAATCCTTTTTGGATTCACAACAAGGATGTTCTTCTTCTAAGATGTCAAACTTGAACTAATAGTCTTTCTGCATGAACACTGTACAGGAAAGGTAAAGAATAGTGCAGTTTTTTGAAACTCTGAGTGACTTGAAGTTTTGAAGTGCTAAGGTATTTTTTATGTAATCATGCTGTTTTGGTTTCTTCATTCTTGTTGCTTAGCTGTGAGTTTCTTTAGATTGCAAGACTGAACAAACTGTTATCAGTGTCTACTCATTTACCTTTTCCTTTTACGTTTTGATAAATGATTTGCTTTCCATACATTAGAAATTTTAACAAGCTATTTCTTTTTTTTTTTCTTTTTTTTTTTTTTTTTTTTTTTCATATCTTTGCCTGTCTTTCTTGCAACAGATTTTCAGTTTCTGTTATTTGAAAGCCAAACAGTTTTAAAATATTTGACTATTCTGGCTTCACACCAATTTAAAAAATTCCATCTTGTTGTTAATTTAAGCCTTGAAAATGAGGCTGTGCGTGGAAAAAATGAGACATGAAAATGTGTTTAGTACTGACTTAATATTATATATGTGGATGTTCATTATATGTGAAATTTAATATTTGATACAAGTTTATGTTTATTTTGTCAGGTTATGCATTTTGAAAATATTTCTAAAATTAAAATATCAAAGGTAGTTTATTTATAGTCATCCTTTCACCCTCCTAAATAAAAGTAAATGAATTAAAGCTTCAAAATCGTAAAAACAACCTTGTATTTAGCATAGGTATAATGAAACACTCAATCAATTTCGAGGGCAGCTAAAGGTCCCTCCTCATCAGGAGAAAGAAATACCTAGAAAGAAGAAAATAAAGGAGAAGGAGTCTCAGAAACACGTGGTCCTTATCCAGCACTGCACGTGGTTATAACTGGATTTTTAATCAGAGTTGCACTGGCCGCCTACTTTTACTGAGCCAGGCTATCTGTCAAGCAAAAGGACAGAAAAATTAGCGAGTTAAAATAGGGAGCGAGGGGCAAATGCATCTTCACACTCAAAATCTTAACTTCAAATAAAATGCTTATTTTAGAATGATATTAGCTGTCAAAGCAAATTATTTTGATTTTTCAGGTTCTCCAGAAATTATAAAATGTTCATGCTTAAAACTTTAGTGTCAATTTTTTTTTTTTGGGGGGGGGGGATTATTATTATTACTATTTTTTTTAAAGGAAGTTAGAAAAATGTTACGTAGTATGAACTTTCTAAAGCCACTTTTTCTTCCAAAAGAAATTAAGTGAATTTAAAAAAAACTGACACACATTTTTTTAATTAAAAAAAAAAAAAGAAAAAAGAAAAAAGGTAAAGGAATAAAAAAAATTATTTGCTTAATTTGAAAATTGTCATATTGCTCTTTTTATTTAAAGATTTTCATTGATGAGTTTCTTTGTCTCTCTTTTATTGAAGAGATAATGGCACTCAAATATTTAGTTTGAGCTTAAAGTGTATATTTTTGTTTAAAATTCATTTTAATGAAGCAAATTATGTATCAAGTAGTTACATCATTTTAAAAGCAATGAAAATGTTTTTGAATAAATATAAATAGTTGAAGTAATTAGCATAAATGTTACATTTTTAGTTAATATGGCTATTTTAAAAATACAAATAAATAATTCTTGTTGCTGTCATATGTATTCAAGAGAATCTATTCCTATAGTATACACATTTTAAATTTTTGTGCGATGTACTGAACACTGTTTCTTCCAACAAAAAGGAAACATTTTCTGATTTCTAAATTTTTGTTTTAAGGTTATAATTGTTAATTTATTTTAATAAGAAGAAGGTTGAAAGTAAAAGGTTTGTATAATGGTTTTTAAAATATTAAGGAAAGCTTTTCATTCAAGTGAAAAATGGAACTAACAGTCTTAGCCAACATTATGAAGATGGAATATAGTCGTAAATCATTTGGTTAATTCAATTAAATGCATAATGGGTATTTTATTTCTTTCTAATGCAAGTTACAAATATACAATGGTAGGATGAAAAGTTTTCGGCCTCACCTCGAGATGGTGCTTCTGGAGTTACTTGGACATACTTTTTACATATTATAAAGGATTTGTATTTAGTTTTTTACACTGTGCTGTGTTAAAATTTCCCTCTTTTGTTTTTAATCAAGTAGGGAGGAAACTAACTGAAGTGCAAGCTGTGATAAAATATTTTTTTATAAAAGCCTTAGTGGCAACAGTTTTTTGGGATGCTAGGGGAATTTTAATGTTAGATTATATAGAAAAAGGCAGGACCATCAATGCTAAATATTATTCTAATCTTTTGGATAAACTGCATTACACACACACACACGCACACTAAAAAAAAGGGGGGGCCAGGTCTGGCCAAGAAGAAAGTCCTGTTTCACCAGGACAGTGCTCCTATCCACAAGGCTGTCACTATGATAGCAAAATTGAAATTCTTCCTCATGCACCCTATTCTCCCGATATGACCCTCCTTGCACTACAGCCTTTTCCCCAACCTGAAAAAATTTCTGGCTGGAAAGAAATTCTGTTCTGATACTCAAGTCATGCCAGCAATGAATGCCCACTTTGAGGCCTTAGAAGAAAGCTCTTACAGAGAAGGGATCCATTCACTGCTGAACTAAGTGTATATCTTTGGAAGGGGACTATGCTGAAAAATAAAGTAAGCATTAAACAGATTCTTTTTATTTTCCTTGTTAGGGCGAAAACTCTTCAACCCACCCTCTTGTATATTTGTAATGCCACTGAGTAATATTTAATGTACATCATCAAGGGGATATGTTACCAGTGTTGTTCTCTTTTCCATTGTCCCAATAGATTTTAGATATTCTAAAAGTTACATCAACACAGTAGTAAGAAATATAATTCCCCCCCCCACCTTGATAATCAGTGCATGGTGAACAGTTTGAAATTGATTCAAATTATAATAAATAGTGTACTTAAAAAAAACTATCTTGCTAATTATTAAAAAGATGCATAATTGTCAAATTTCTCAGCAGTCATTTTCTGTGTCAAATTGTAATCATTTCCCAGCAAATAAAACTACTGTTTATTTCAAAGTTATGTTTAAGGAGCCAAATAAAAGCTGTTTTCAAACTACTGTTTGGCTGTACTTGTTGTGTATATCATAAAAGATGCATGTTAATGAAACACGTTTGAAAATGGAAAAAGAAATTTAGCAGATTGTATTTTAATTTTTTTTTTTTTTTTTTTTGGTGTGTGTGTGTGTGTGCCTAAATGACATGTTCATATTTTTTCAGATAATAATGAAAAGTGATGGTTTTCCTACATATCATTTTGCTTGTGTTGTTGATGACCATTTAATGCAAATCAGCCATGTGTTAAGAGGAACTGAATGGCTCATATCTACGCCAAAACATATTTTATTGCATCAAGCTCTTGGTCAACAGCCACCTAAATTTGCTCATCTTCCTTTGCTTGTTAACAGGTAACATAAAATTAACTCTTGTTTTATTTCTTTAATTATATATTATAACCTATTTTAAATTTAATTTTAAGACATTTGGATGTGAGAAAACAGAATGCTACATTCAGATTTTATTCTGCCTCTCTTTATTCAGAAATAATTTTAAATGAAATAAAAAATAATCAATTTAGAGTGCAGGTAATGTAAATAGGTAAGATATTAATATGAAAAATGATTTGTATTAAATGGTTTGCCTTTTGGAGAGCAAACTCTTATTTGGCAACAAAAATAAATAAATAAAAAGTCAAAACATTTTATAAATTTGAATAAAAAGTTGAAAAAGACAATATAGAAAAATGTATTTTGATATGGTTTAGTTATTTATCAGGGAGCAGTCAATAAGCATTTAAAATCATTCATTATTCAGATCCTAATTCTGGATGTATTCTCTTCAATAATTAAATTTTTAAGTTAATTTTAAATCAGAAATGAAATTATTGGAAGAGGTGTTTTCTCTAGTAACAGTGTAAAACCAATCAAAGTTATTTACTCTGTTTAGCTGAACTTGTGCAGTTTTAAAGTTTCGGTAAATTTGTGTCATTATTATATGCATTTTGGTTAGTATCATTTGGTTGGTGCAGAATCAGATATGTATGATATTGGTAATAATTAAAGTTTGTGACAAAATTTTGCTTTCCAATTTAGTTATTTTTGTCACACTGTTTTCTCCTTTTGCAGTGATGGTACAAAATTATCGAAGCGTCAAGAATCGCTTGGAGTGGAATATTTTAAAGTATGCTATAAATTTAATTATATTGATTTTCATGTTAATACATTCCATATTACATCAACATTCAATCAAATTACAAGAAGAGTTCTTTCTAACATAACTCTTAATATATTTCCCAGAATGCTATTCATAATTTAATGTCATTTTCTTTTAAAACAATTAAACAGTTCCCTCTGCTAAAATAAATGTACTTTTGTTTCCACACAAGAATTGAATTTTTTTAAATATTTCATCTTTATTCATTAATTATTCAGTTTATAATAGAATTACAGTTTTGATTTTTTTTTTTTTTTTTTTGTTTGTGTGTTGCTAGCAGATGCTAAAAATGATATTTGTGTAGCATTTTAAATCTATTATAATATTTTTTTTTTAATTGCAGGAAAAGGGATATTCTCCTGAGGCATTGCTGAATTTTCTTGCTGCTGCTGGAGGTGGGTTTGGAAAGCAAGAAGGATGTTATGTTTATGATTTGAAGACCTTATCCTCTAAAGTACACTTTTTTAAATTTTATAGTTTCAACTTTATTTAATTTGGGCATAATGTTTACATATCTAGCTTATTATTTCAGAATTATTGTAATACATATTTTTCAAAACAGTGGAAATTGTGAATTTGATGTGAAACATCTAATAATTGACTAGTTTTACAAAAATGAAAGAAAAGAGATTAAAAAAAAAATTTTAACATTTACAAACTTTGGAATATTCAAATTTTGTCTTTTGAGGTAAGGAGCAAAATGTGGACTGCAGCATTCATTGCATTGAAGATTAGATTAGAAACAATTGCCATGCACTGAATGCTTCTTAGCTATGGATAAGATGACTTAACTAATGAAAGCCATTGGTTGTTTAGAAGCGGTCAAATGCAACCAATTGCTGTGAAAGTCTTTAAATGTCCCAAAGTATCATTTCCATATCATAGAACTGAAAATTAGAAAAAGGTTGTAGGCATTCAACATCATAAAATGGGGAACAGGTATTTAACTCTAATGGACAGAAGAAACCATTGTATGAATGCCATTCTTCTACAACAGCAACATCTGAGGTCTTCATCAGTGTAGTCTCTTCGAAATTTATGTGGGTTGTACTCCTTCGAATTAGAAAAGGTTGAGGTCTTCAGGTATTTAACTAATGGACAGTGTAGTCTCTTCGAGTGTAGTCTCTTCGAAATTGACTTCAAAATGTGGGTTTGTATGCTCACAGACCTGCAATTTGTGTTTCTTTAACACCGAGCCATTGGGAGCAATAGCTTGCAGAGTGTGGGTGCAAAGGAATCTTAGATGGAGAGGAAATGAATGTTCTTTTCTCAGATGAGTCCCACTTTAGTATACAACCTGACATAAGATAGCTTATCATAGGAGAGAATTTGGCATTCAGAATAAATCTGAATTTGTAAGTGTTCAGAGAAGGCAGAGTGATTTCTGTTTGTGACTGTACTAATCTGTACATCATCAGAAGTGGATCACTGGTAACTCAGTGATCTAGGGAGGAAATCTTTTAATTTTTTGTTGTCCTTTATGCTCTTACAACCTGATGTGAATTCCTTTTCTTGGATGAAATTGCTAAGTTACATAACGCTTGGTAATGGGATGACTTTTTGTTGAAAGAATCCTTTGAGTGGATTAGTTAGTATGTTCCCTTGAGATAAAACAGGTGTTTGGGATATTCTGGGGAGAAGGATCACTGGTCAGTTATCACCCTCCAAAACAATTCAACAACTGGAGATCACATTGTGCAAAAGTGGCAAAATATACTCTAGTGCCTCCTTGATAACATCATTGTCTCGAAGCATTACTTTTGGCAGAAAAGTCTGTACTTATTAAAACTCATTTTTACCTAAAACATTATATTTTATAATAAGGCAAATATTTCAAAACTTTTCATGACCTGTCAAAAATTAATTCATAACACATTTAGTGGAAATAAACGTTACAATTAGGTTACTGTAATGAATCTTCAGAAGGCTCATTGCTCAAGGTCAGTGTTACGGATGTACAGAATGAAATCTTAAGAAGAAAATTTTGTATTTTCTTTACTTAAGTACCCATAGCAAAAATTTGTAAAATTTTGAAATCCTGAGTGCATGAGCGTCAGGATGCCTGTGTTTTCTAGTTATTTGTTGTAAAGAGACGGAAATGTAGGGCATGTAAAAGGATTCAGTGCTAACTTGAAATGTCTGGATTAAGTGCGCTGTCACAGGTATGTTCTCTTAGTATTCACCACTAATATTTTCACTATATGAGTTTTCTGATTGCTAGAGAAACAATATTCTACATCACATCCCCCCCCACACACATAACGTGTGTAACGTGTTCACACGTTACAAGCAAAATCAAAGCTCCTTTGCTCCTTTTAGTTAATTAATTGATGTAGTTAATATTTGTGTGCTATTTAATTTTTTCTCTCTTTTTTTCAGTTTCAGTTAGAAAATATGAACACTAGTCCCTGTTCAGTGGACATGATGAAATTAAATATTTTTAATCGTAATTATATAGCTAAAGAACTGTGTACTGAGAAGGGTTCTGCTGCTTTGATAGAAAAATTAAGAGAACATTTGCTTGAAAAATATGGCAAAAAGTAATTAATGTTTATGTATATTTTTGGGTGTTTTTTTATAAAGATTTTACATAAATATTTAAACTTTGCATTAGAAGAATTTCTTTACTTCCTTGTTCGAAGTAAAGGAAATACTGTAAACAGGAAAAATTCTGGGTATCATATTTGAATGGAAATATCTATTTTGATTGCCCTTAAATCCATTTAGATGATTTTTTTGGCATGACTTCTGCATATACAGAAAGAATAAAAGACTATTTTTTCCAAAACAGATTGTAAAATGGATTTAAAAGGGATTCAGAAGGGATATTTTTGTGACATTTGTGTGTATGTATCTTGTATAACTCAACAATTAGCCGTAAAATGTGTGAAATTTTATATATGGGAATGCTGTAACATCTAGTTGTGCACATCCCTTTTTTGTTGCGATCAGCCACACCAAACATATATGTATATGTACACCCAACCCTCTTACCCAGCTGGGTCAGTTCTATTTTTTATTTGTATGTGTTGTGAAATTTTTGCTATCAAAGTGATTGAATTAAGTTGTTTTTATGTTCCGGTTAAGGTTTTATGCATTTAGTTTATCTGTATGCACAATTTAAAACTTTTTAAGTCCTGCCAGGCCTAACAAGACCACCTTTTGTTTACATTTGGAGCTTTTAGTAGCATAGTGAATTATGTCACTTGGTGCTCTAACTGTAGTGTCTTGTTTGCCAGTGGAACCAAAAGTTAACTTAAAATTTTGGTACTATTCCGTTTTGAGGACCATAAAAATCGCCAAACTGTTCTTGATGCCAGTGCTGCCAAAAATAATTGCGGCAACCCTAATGCAAGAAAGGAAGTATAATAGTAAATAACTATCTAAGATTTTATTGTTTTAATTTAGATGAAAGGTTAACTTCATATAATACTTTTTTATTATTATAATTTATATAAAAAAGGGTAAATGTAACTGAATGAAAGCATAAGAGTAATTAACGATTTCAGATCATTATTACAATATATATATATAAAAGCAAACATAACTGAATGGATTCCTGCATCGCTATTTTGCTACCAAGTTATCGCTAAAGCATAATTTCATCTCGTTGGTTGTTGATAAATAATTTTCTGTAAGGAATGATGCCTTTTCTTTGAAAAAATTCTATTGCAGCCTTTTCATCATTGTTAAAATTTCATCATTGTTTCATCATTGTTAAAAGTTGTTAAAACCATAGGATACCAAAAAATGTTTTAAAAATTAAACTTATATTTCAATGCCGTCTTAAGAAATATAGAATTATCTAAATTTACGCAATTTGAAATCAGCGCGTAACCTAGATTTGGCACACCGTTAAATGACTGTGTTTGTTAGGAACACTGTTAAATGGCCGTGTTTGCTAGGTTTGCCGCTTTTGTGCATACATTTTCGCTGCAGTTTTTTTACGGTCCTCAAAACGGAATAGTACCAAAATTTTGTCAGGGGTGAAACTAGAGTTTCCAGCGTCCGGGGACAACTGAAGAATTTGCACCCCTTTCTGTGTGCCAAGAATGGAAAACATTTCATTAAAAAATTTCGTAGCATCAATTTGGCACCCCTTGGATGTTGTGCCTGGGGAAAGATGTTCCCCCTTGCCGCACCCTAGCTACGCCACTGAATTTTGTCTTTTTGCCTGTTGGCCAAGTTGCAATTTTTTTTTTTTTTTTTTTTTTTGTATAGAAGCTCTAATTTCAAATGCAAAAATTGTTTAAGCTGTTTTTAACTGTATTTGGTGTTGTTTTAGATGTTTCTGTATTTTACAATTTTTAATGAAGATGTCTTCAGATTTTATGGATTTTTGCCTTGCTACAAAGTGAAAACTGAATTGATTGAGAAATGTATCCTTAATGTTGAAGGAATATTCTCGAGGAAATAAATTTAAATGGAGTGCTGCAAAAAATGCGTATAATTTAATAGGCCATACAAGAAAGTCATGTGCTATTCACATTAGATTTTTTTATGAAAAAGGTAATGTACATACCTTTAAATAACTAATAACTAATAAATAAATAATACATACCTTTAAATTTTTTGTTATGTTTTAAAAAAAAATTTAGAGGTATGTACATTACCTTTAAAATGTTTGAAGTTATCAGTGGTATGTGATCCATTTATTTTTATTTCCTATTACTAACTCTCAATAAACATATTCAGGATATGTATATGTGACGCACATAAGAAAGTATATGTATAAAAATATGTGTATGTGCCCATTTTATGAAAAGCAAATTACAAGAGGAAATATTCATGTAAAATAAGATCAGATTTTACCCTTAAAGTTTACAAAAGTTCTGATTTGTTTTAGTGCATAAAATTTGCTCTAAAAATTGAAATTATAAGTTGATCATTATTTGAAATGTCTCTTATTTTCTTTAATTTGAAATTGAAAATTACTTTGAGAAAAGTTAATTTTTCTTTGGTTTTTATATTTGCTTACATCTTGTGTAGTTTCCAATACATGTTCAGAAACTTTTGATTTATGGTAGCGTCATAAAATTTATCCACGAATAGGAGTATGTATTGTGTAAAGGAAAAGAGTATTACTAAATTTAATATCTTTAACTACTTTGAAATACACAGTACTATTCATAGATGCTTTTTAATGCATTGTGTTCTTTATTTAGACTTTCTTTAAGAATGATATATGATGTGTAGTTCTCCTCTCATTCGTTTCAAGAAATTAAAGTTCGTTTTCAAGAAATTAAATTAAATCCTAGTTAGTAGAAAAAAAGTAGAAGACTATGCAGGTGTTTATGGTATTTTAAACGCTTGTAGAGTCATTAGGTTAATTAGAAGCAGAAAAGAAGGAAAATTATGCAACCGCCTTCGCCGGGAATCGAACCACTGACCTCTGGAATACCAGCCCAGCGTGCTACCGTTACACCACGAAGGCACGCTAGGGATGTGGGAGAAATACCTTATATACTCCCTTTTTTAAAGGGCGGCTAGGGTTTTAGGGGATCTAGTCGCCAAATCCTGGGTGCAGAGAATCATCATCCACAACCTTTTTTTTAGTTCGGGCGCCGCTTTTAGAATCATTAGGTTAATTGGAAGCAGAAAAGATGAAAAATTAGCAACCGCCTTCGCCAGGAATCGAACCACGGACCTCTGGAATACCGGCCCAGCGTGCTACCGTTACACCACAAAGGCATGCTAGGGAAGTGGGAGAAATACCTTATTATCAGTTTTAAGATTTTTACTATAGGTTAGTTTTAGATGTTTTGTTAAGTACAAATACTTAAAAACTCTCAAAGCATATTTGAATATGTCTCATCATAACAATTTGAAATCTACTGAAATAATTTACGCTTGAAAGATAGTCTGGTCTAGTACCATGACTAATATACAAGAGTGCTCCTATTGGATTTCTATATTTGACATTTTGATTTAAATTAGATTGGCTTAGTTTAAGAATAATCTCCATTGGAGTATCATAAAGCTTTAAATTTTCAATGCCATACCGTTTAGCTAAAGATTCAATATAATTTTCCTGACTTAGTGTTAAAATATTACTTTTCTCATTATCATATTAAATATCAATTCCAATGTAGCTTTTTACTTTATTTAAATCCTTCGTTTAAAATTTATTATGTAGTTGTTCCTTAATATCATAATTACCCGAGTATCTCTGCAACATATAAAAAAATCATCAACAATAAAAGAATATATACAATACATCATTTTCAGGTTTACATAAAGGCATAATCATATTACTTCTACGAAATCCTAAAATCTCAATATACTCGTTAAAACACTCATACAAAGCACGAGGGCTTTCTTTCAACCATATAGTGCTTTCTTAATTTATACACTCTATTCGAATTATCATTATAGCTTGTGGTTGTTTAACATAAACTAGACGCAACAAACCATTTAAAAAGGCAGTCTCAACATCCATTGATGAATATTTAAATTATACTGACAAGAATATGAAAGTAGCAATTTTAAGGTTTGCATCTTAATGACAAGGGGAGTAAGTATCCGTCAATAGTGTCTATCTTTTTGCTGGAAACCTCACGGAACCATGCTGGAATAAAACTCTTGAACCATTAATAAAACATTACACTTTAAAAACATTACCTGGTTTTCTTTTGAATACCCCACTTCACATCTAGAATTGCTTTATCCTCTGGTTTAGTCACTAGTGTCCAAGTGTTCGTTTTTTAACAAGACTGTTCATTTCACTGTCCATTGCCTCTTTCCAATGTCCAGCCTCGCTGCATGTTGTCGCCTCTTTCAAAGTTACCTGGAACTCTGTAGCATCACAAAAATTTGCACTAACACAGTAGTACCCTGAATTCTCTTCATGAAATCGAACTGGTGGTTTGATTTGCCTTCTTGGTCTCATTCCACTTTTTGTTTCATCTTCATTTATCACACTGTCTTGAGGTATCATTACTCGATCACATGACACTTGAGGTTCCTTCTCTTATTTGTATCATCATTTTATCTTCATCATCACAACCTACACACATTAGGCTTCTTCAATAATGTCAACAGCCTGGCAATATTATTCTGTTATTATCAAAACTCTATATCAAACTTCTCTATATCCAAGTAAAATTCCAAATTCAGCCTTTTTATCCCACTTAGACTTTCTCTTTCCTTCTAGTATTCTTACATACACTCTACTTTCATATGATTTCAATTCATTTGCAGATGGTTTCCCTATTAAAAAATATTTTATATGGTGTCTTCTTTGCAACAGTATTTGTTTATGTCCTGTTTCAAATAAGCAGCAGCTTTAATTACTTCAGGCCTGTAACATCTGTCAACTTTTGCTTCAGTTAAAAGACATCTTGCCATATCCATTATAGTTCTGTTGTAACGCTCAGTAGTACCATCTAATTCATATACATGTGGTGGGCATGACTTTATCTTGATACCTTTTTCTCTTGCAGATTTGTATGCATATCTTTCTATTCATATATTCACTGCCATTATCACATCTTAGTTCTTTGATAGTCCCGTTAAATTTGAATTTCATTTACGTATTCAA